TCTGTCTTACTGTGGCTAAAGCTGATATCTGATATACACGACATAGTCCTCTTTACTCTTCCCTCTCCTCTCTTCAAGTGGAAAAAAGGGGACTCTTTTGGAGCTGCGAACTGTGCTGCCTGGCAGTGGGAGAGGGGTGCTGCAAGCACTATTTTAGCCATCCTGCTGGTGTCTCAGGAGGTCACATGCCCCACAAATCCACTGCCTCTGAGCCCAGCTCAGCACCTAAACTTGCCTTGGAGTTGCAGTCCTTGTGGCCTAGATTGCCTTTCAAGCTTATTTAGAGCCCCAGTATACTTCAGCTCGCAGTGGCAAGGCTTGCCAGAACTCAAGTTCCCACACTGAGTTAGGTGATTAGGTGATTCCTCTCTGGCTAGGGCTGGTCTAAATGTTCCCTCTGTGAGTGGGCATCGGCCTCAACCTGATTTACTTTCCTTTGTGATAGGACAGCACTGAATTTAGTGCAGAGTCTCACAATTGCTGTTCTTTTCTGCTCCCAAACCACCCAGATTTTCTCTCTGCAGCAAGTTCCCCCAGGCACCTGGTTCTTATGAAGGTGCCTTTTTTGTGATAGTTAAATTTGGTGTTACTGGCCGTGTGCAGTGGCTCACGCCTGTAATCCCAGCACTTCGGGAGGCTGAGACAGGTGCATCACCCGAGTTCAAGAGTTCGGGACCATCCTGGCCAACATGGTGAAACCCCATTTCTACTAAAAATACAAAAATTAGCTGGGTGTGGTGGCATGTGCCTGTAATCCTAGCTACTCAGGAGGCTGATACAGGAGAATCGCTTGAACCCAGGGGGGCAGAGGTTGCAGTGAGCGGAGATTGTCCCACTTCATTTCAGCCTGGGTGAAAGAGCAAAGTTCTGTCTCCAAAAAAAAAAAAATTTGGAAATTTAGTGTTCCTGCAGGGCTGATGGTCATTAAAGCCATCATCTATTCAGCCGTCTTGCTCCACCCCTCTCCCAACCCAGATTTTTAAGAATAAAATTCCATAACTTTTTTGAAAACGTTTCTGCTAAATATTTTATATCTACAAAAAGAAACTCAGAAGTAGATATATTATTGTTATAAAGCAACTTATCGATTTAATTGTGAGATACTTATTTAGCATCTGCTATGAGCCAAGCTCTGTATAACATACAGCATTTTGTTCATGATGGTGAACAAAATAGACAAGATCAAAGGTCTCATGGAACTTACATTTTAGTGAAGAAAGTAGACAATAAGCAAACATTATGGTTTGAAGTGCGTGTTACTTATTCACGTGGAAGTATTAAGTAAAAATGATATATTACTTGCATACCAGAGACATACTGTAGACTAGTAATATAAATTAAGGAAACAGCAGAATACATATTGTGTTTACAGCATTGGCTATGTATAAGAGTACTTTGCAAGAGATTGTGGAAGAAAGTAGAGTGCATGAGCTCTGAAGAACTCCATCAATTAAACAGTTGCAGGAGAAAGGATCTGTAGACAGATTGAGAAGTAGTTGTTGAGAGAAAATCTAAAATCCAGAGTGTTTAGAACCAAAGAAATGAAAGACCCCTTGTGCTTGAGTTGTGTTGGATGCTATTGAGCAGTCCTTTAGGATGAGGATGGATTAAACATGCTATATAGAGATTGTTTGTGGCTTTAGTATTTGTGTTTCAGTGTTTCAGAAGGAAAGACATTAGATGGAAATGGATTAAACAGTGAACAGAAGGAGGGAAAGAAGAGATGGGCTCATTACAGACAGTGGCTCATGTCTATAATCCTAGTACTTTGAGAGACCAAGGCAGGAGGATTGCCCGAGCCCAGGGGTTCAAAACCAGCCTGAGTAACATAGCAAGACCCCATCTCTGCAAAAAATTAAAAAATTAGCCAGGTGTGTTGGCATACGCCTGTAGTCCCAGCTACTCAGGAGGCAGAGGCTGCAATGAGCCATTATCACACAATTGCACTCCTGCCTGGGTGACAGAGTGAGATACTGTCTCTCCAGGAAAAAAAAAAAAGAAGAAGAAGAAGAAGAAGAAGAAGAAATAACAACTCTTGAGAAAAACAAGTACTATATAAACTGCTGCCTTACCTTCATGACTCTATACAACCAAATAGCTGAGATTTTTCTCTTTGCATCTTCTTCATGTTCCAGGCCTCCTTCTGCAGTCTTATAGCCCTCATCATTGCTACCATCAGTATTGCTACCTCCCTTTTGGGAGGTTTGCTTGTAAAGTAAGCATAGAAATGGGATTACACTGGAGGGTATGAAGGGTCAGGAGGGTAGGGACCTTTAACAGGAATAGAAGACCTTCTCCTCCACTACGAATGGAAGGAAGGGGAAATAAGTATAGATTACTATCAGTTTGTACATTTGAAAGTGGGAAAGTGATTGTTTTATTTGGAGCTGAGCCCAAAAGAGGCAGAAAAGGTTGCTGGATTAAAGAGAAAGATGATATAAAATGACTTTTTGAAGAATGGGTCAGCTCCTGTAGGCAAAGTAATTGAACAGAGAAAGGAACAAAGCTTGCTGAGTGGTTCTTGGGTCTATGGTTGGAAGCCATAGTTGATAGGTTAGTGTTAGGCTGTGCCATCTTTGAAAGCTAAAATCCTTGCCTGAAGCAGCACCTGCCTGTGGTGAGAATGGTACATGCTATGAGAGAAGTGTGTACCCTATGCCAGGGAAGCACTGAAATGGTACCCTCTCCAGAACAGGCTGATTGTCCTGGGACACTGCTAGGAGGGATGACTAAAGTAGTCAATTGCCTTGGAACTTAGAAGACCCATTGTTTAAATTCATTTTTATAGTAGAAAATAGTGCGTGGTGGCTCATTCCTGTACCCTAGCACTTTGGGAGGCCGAGACAGCCTGATTGCTTAAGTCCAAGAGTTCGAGACCAGCTTAGGCACCATGTTGAAACTCTGTCTCTTAAAACAATACAAAAAAATTAGGCAGGCCTGGTGGTGCGTACCTGTTTTCCCAGCTACTAGGGAGGCTGAAGTGGGAGGATCACCTCAGCCCAAGGAGGTCGAAGCTGCAGTGAGCCATAATCGCACCACTGCACTCCAGCCTGAGTGACAGAGTGAGACTTTGTCCCAAAAGAGGAAGGGAAAAAAAAAAAAAAAAGAAAAGAAAACTGGCTGCAGTGCCAGATCAGACCATAAAAATCAGTGCAAATATTACATATTTTAGTAAGAAATATTTTAAAACAGTATTGCTTAAAAACTAAGAAGGTAAGAATTTTTAAGCATGAGATTCATTTTGAATGCTAGTGTTGAGAAAATATTTCATTTGGTAAAGTAAATTTCAGATTTTGTAGAGAATTTTTGAGGGAGTGAGTGAGTGCTTTTTAAGGGCTACAGTATATGACGGTGACTCTCTTGTGTTTAACTCATGTTAGAAACTTCTGACTTTTTAATTTTGATGCTGTAGAAATCACTTTTTAAAAAATGCAGTATTTCCAGCTATAAATGAAATAATGAAAATGAAAGATTTTATGTATTAGTTTGGGAGTAACTGATAGACATTGGAAAAAGGGTGGGCTGAAAGAAGGGGAGGCCAGTGAGAACGTTATTGAGTCCCTATTATAAGTCAGATATTGTACCAGGTACTTCCATGCATAGAGTCATTGTCATATACTGTAGCCCTTAAAGGCACTCACTCAAAAATTCTCTACAAAATCGGAAATCGACTTTACCAAATGAAATAATATTTTCTCAACACTAGCATCCAAAATGAAAATCATGCTTAAAAATTCTTAACTTACAAGTTTTTAAACAATACTGTTTTAAAATATTTCTTATTGAAAATACGTAATATTTATACATATTTATAGTCTTAACAGAATCTTATTAAATGTAGGTATCATTGACATCCCCATTTAACAGTTGAGAAAAGTCATCACTAAAATGATTTGCCCTAAGGCAGGTGGCTAGTGGTAGAAGGCAGGATTTAATTCTAAATCTTCATTGCCTGTGTTCTTTTTTCTTTTTTTTGGAGACAGAGTGTTACTCGATCACCCAGGCTGAAGTGCAGTGGCTCGATGTTGGCTCACTGCAACCCTTGCCTCCTGGGTTCAAGCGATTCTCCTATCTCAGCCTCCCAAGAAACTGGGATTACAGGCACGCGCCACCATACACAGCTAATTTTTATATTTTTATTAGAGACAGGGTTTCACCATGTTGGCCAGGCTGATCTCGAACTCCTGACCTCAGGTGATCCACCCACCTTGGCCTCCCAAAGTGCTGGGATTATAGGCATGAGCCACTGCACTGGCTGCCTGTGTTCTTTAGAGAGAGAGACAGGAAAAACAATAAAATTAAAAAGGTTTACATGTGATTTTTTTTTTTAAAGCAGAAAGGCAGTATTGAGAAATAAAGTGGGATTCCCTGTATTGGTCCAAGTCTGGAGCAGTTGTCAAGATTGTATGCAACAGTGATGTACTGACTGTTCATAAATGAGATTCATTCGCCTGTAGTAATACTGATGGAGATGGGTGGTAGGGACGCTTATCTGTGGGCTTCCTTGAAAATTCAGGGTTTGCAAAAGATCTCTCATTTTTTTGCATCATATGAGAGACATGTGTTTTTAGTGATTGAATAGAACTCAGAGAAGTGTGTATGCATGGATATGAGTAGATTTTTGTCATTGTTGTTTAGGCTTAAGTTAATTGCTACCCATAACTGAATTTTCAATCTTTCATACTTAGGATGTCTGTGAATCTCTAATTAAATAAACATTGGCATAAGAGTTCTGAAAGGATATGTTCTTTGATAACCATATCTGTTCTCAGAAATATCTTCTGGAAATGTAGAAAGTAAACTCAGTTCATATTTTATATATGAATGGCAAGTACGGATTTTAACACAAATTATAAATCTAAGATAATATAAAAAGGGTTTGTGTATGTGTTGGATGTTGGTTTGACGGGAAAAAAATAATACTAAACATTTTATGCCTCACAATTCATCCTAGAAGGCTCTTCAGTCATCTCCATTAACATTTTTTTAAATGTTCCTAGGTCATTGAATCTTTGGGAATTATTATTTATAAAGCACTGGACTATGGTTTGAAGGAGAATGAAGAAAGGGAATTAAGCCCTCCCCTCGAGCAGCTCATCGATCACATGGCCAACACGGTAGAAGCTGATGGGAGCAATGATGAGGGCTATGAGGCTGCAGAAGAAGGCCTGGAAGATGAAGAAGATGAAAAGAGAAAAATCTCAGTTATTCGGTCGTATAGAGATGTCATGAAGGTAAGGCAGCAGTTTGTGTAGTACTTGCTTTTCTCAAGAGTTATTATTCCTTCTCTTTTTTCCCCTGGATAGACAGTCTCACTCTGTTGCCCAGGCTAGAGTGTAGTGGTATGATCATGGCTCACTGCAGCCTCTGCCTCCTGAGTAGCTGGGACTACAGGTGTGCCACCACACCTGGCTAATTTTCAAATTTTTTGCAGAGATGGGAGTCTTGCTGTGTTGCTCAGGCTGCTTTTGAACCCTTGGGCTCAAGCAATCCTTCTGCCTTCACCTCCCAAAGTGCTGGGATTATAGAAATGAGCCACTGAGCCAGCTTGTTATTTTTTAAAAATTGAATGGTTGACATATAGCTGCATTTATTTAAAAATAAGAAAGAGAAAGAGAGAGAAAAAAAAAGAAAGGAAGGTAGGTAGGTAGGTGATTCAGCATTTAGTAATAGTGCTTTTAGATATTACATGCTCCTTATCATTACATATCATGTATCACCTTGACTGGGCATTATGTCTTCAGTTGACCTCTGTATTTCCTTTGTCTAGAGTAAATAACAACTGTTATCCACTTACTTAGATGAAGATTTTGCATCTCAAGTATCACAGCTGATTGTTTTACTTTGTTTTCTTGACCTACCTAGTGGTATTTATATGCAATGAAGCAAGTTTGGTGGGTTATACGAAATTTTTCTCTTTATTTAAATTTTGCTAGGCTGGGCGTGGTGGCTCACGCCTGTAATCCCGGCACTTTGGGAGGCTGAGGCAGGTGGATCACGAGGTCAAGAGATTGAGACCATCCTGGCCAAGATGGTGAAACCCCGTCTCTACTAAAAATATAAAAATTATCTGGGTGTGATGGTGGGCACCTGTAATCCCAGCTACTCAGGAGCCTGAGGCAGGACAATTACTTGAACCCTGGAGGTAGAGGTTGCAGTGAGCTGAGATGGTGCCACTGCACTCTGGCCTGGGCAACAGAGTGAGACTCTGTCTCAAAAAAAAAAAATTTGCTGTGTACTTGAAGGCCATAATGTCTACTGTGCTAAATGTACAGAGATTAACTTAAAACGGATTTGACAAATTAGCCATAAAAGAAAGTTACTTATATATGATATTTACTAGGTTTTATAAGCAGTGTCAATGGTGTATCTCTTATTTTCCAACTTTTCATAAAGTGTTTCAGAGATAGGAATATAGAAGCACTGTCACAATGGTACTTTTCAGGTGTGCTGAGTGCCCCTGCTCCTTAGAGTTCCTTAGATGGTACATCTCTCAAGGACTCTGGAAAGAACTATACAAGTTATGATTCTTATGAAATTTAGATATATTCTTTAGCTTTTTAAAGATGTGTAGTACTTCTCATTTTAAATCAGCCTATACACGTAAAATACACATACATATATGTATATATATTTACACAAACAAATAGAAATTTGATGTGTTTTATTCATTTTATGTTTTCTAGATGTTAAGTTTTATTTTTTAAAAACATATAAACACGCTTGAAGGCCAGTTAAACTTTCTGCAGACCACAAATGCCCTGCTTATTCTGTGGAAGACCATGATAAATCATGATTGAAAAAACGAAGAGTAAAACGTTTACATTAAGAAGCAAAACCACTCATATCTGTGAAAGTGAGCTAACAGTATCTTGGTTGTGTGTGCGTTGGGGGAGTATGCATAAGGAGTGGTGAAAGAGGAAGGGAACACGTGTTCTACCTAACCAACGAGATCCATAAAATCAATCCTGGCACCAGGAGTGTAACAGATGTCATAGATTGCTGTCTTAAACTACAGGTTTGGAAGATGAGGGCCAGAGAGTAATTGGAATTTAAGAATTTTATTCAGTGACATTAAATATCTTATTTTAAAAGTCTTAGACATTTAGAAGTTTGAATGGATACCTTTTATTTTATTTTTTGAGCTACTGTGGTTCCCTAACTTATTGCTATCATTATATGAAAAATGAATAGTTAAAAGGGTGCTTAAGAAGACAGGTTTTTGGCTGGGCATGGTAGCTCACACCTGTAATCCCACCACTTTGGGAGGCCCAGGTGGGAGGATCACTTGAGCTCAGGAGTTCGAGACCAGCCTGGGCAACAGAGTGAGACCTCTTCCCTATTTAAAAGAAAAAAAGGCTGGGTGCAGTGACTTATGCCTGTAATCCCAGCATTTTGGAAGCCCGAGGTGGATGGATTACTTGAGGCCGGGAGTTCAAGACCAGCTGGCCAACATGGTGAAAACCTATCTCTACCAAAAAAATACAAAAATTAGCTGGATGTGGTGGTGCACGCCTGTAGTCCCAGCTAGTTGGAGGCTGAGGCACGAGAATCTCTTGAACCTGGTAGGTAGAGGTGGAGATTGCAGTGAGCCGAGGACAACCCATTGAACTCCACCCTGGTTAAAGAGGTGAGACACTTTCAAAAAAAAAAAAAAAAAAAAAAAAGCAAAGCAAAAAAAAAAGTTTTAAAGGTTTTATAGATGAAGGAAAACTGAAGTTTACCAATTCTGTTAGAAATTTTATTGGAGAATATCACAACCTTACCTGTTGTTTATTGGTTTCCATGCTAATCAAAACTGACCTATAAAATTCTCTACAACTGTAACTGTTCTGAATGTTCCATGTAGCTGAATGAGAAGAAAAATAATTGCTGAAGCATTTTACAAATAAACTGAAATTTTAAAATATTATAAAACCTATGATTTGGCTGGGCATGGTGACTCACTCCTGTAATCCCAGCACTTTGGGAGGCTGAGGCGGGTGGATCGCAAGGTTAAGAGATTGAGACCATCCTGGCCAACCTGGTGAAACCCTGTCTCTACTAAAAATACAGAACTTAGCTGGGTCTGGTGGTGCACGCCTGTAGCCAGCTACTCGGTAGGCTGAGGCAGGAGAATCGCTTGAACCTGGGAGCTGAGATTGTGCCACTGCACTCCAGCCTGGGCGACAGAGTGAGACTCTGTCTCAAAAAAAACCCAAAAAACAAACCATGATTCTTCGTCATACAGTGCAGATATGAGTTTGTGGTTTGGTTAGCAGGTTGAAAACCTCAGTTCATAAATTGATTCTGTTTACTGTGTTGGAAGAGAAGACCAGAATTATTTAAAGAATTGTAACTGCTTTCTCCTTGTTTGAAGTAGAAATGTGAAACTAAGTTTGATTCATAAAAATAATAGGATGTTTAATAACTTGAAACAATTTGTTTTCAATTCTTAGCAAGCAAGACCCTCTTTAATGTGTAACTTTTGTCCTGGATAGTCTTTTATTCCAACTAATTACTAATTTTGTATGTTTTAATATGATACATTGTAGTTGAAAAATGCCTTTATGTCCTGTCCCTTCTATTACTGGAGCCTTAGAATCATACTGTGAGGTAGATTGGGCAGGTATTCCAATACCCATTTTACAAAGTAAGTCAAAGGAAGAGTAATGTTAGAAGACAGAGAGAAATGCTATCTTCAGAGTTCTAATATTAAATCTAGAATTACTTATCCAGTATAATATCTCAGCAGTAAAGATAAAATATCAACCAGGCATGGTGGATCACTAGAGCCCAGGAGGTTGAGACTACAGTGGGCAGTAGTGGCGCCATTGCATTCCAGCCTGGGTGACACAGTGAGACCTTTTTTTGTTTTGTTTTGTTTTAAAAAAGGTAAAATGCCTTTTCTGACAAACACAGAAAATTTGTCACCAGCAGACTCTGACTAAAGGTAATACTAAAGGGTATACATCAGGCAGAAGGCATTCCATGTGTGGTAGAAACTAGGAGATGCAGAAGGTTTGAAAGGCAAAGAAAAATAAACGTGGGCCAGGTGCAGTGGCTCACACCTGTAATCCCAGCACTTTGGGAGGCCGAGGCGGGTGAATCACTTGAGGTCAGGAGTTCATGACCAGCGTGGCCAACACAGTGAAACCCCATCTCTACTAAAAATACAAAAAATTAGCTGGGTGTGGTGGCACATGCCTGAAATCCCAGCTGCTTGGGAGGCTGAGGTAGGAGATCGCTTGAACCTAGGAGGTGGAGGTTGTCAGTGAGCCAAGATTATACCACTGCACTCCAGCCTGGGGGATAGAGTGAGACTCCATCTCAATTAAAAAAATAAAAAGAAACACGAAAATAAATCTAAATGAATATTAACTACAAATAATAATAATATCTTGCATGATTTAGAATATATTTAGAATTAAAATATGTAACAGTAACACAAAAGAGTGTGGGAGTAAGTGTTCTAAGATCCTGGTATTGTCTGGGAAGAGGTTAAAGCACTAATTTATTAGGAAAGCCACTAAAAATAAATAAAAGAATTTGTAAATACCAAGTCAATAGGGAAAGGGAGCAGATGAAGCTAATAAAATTACTGATAATCCAAAAGAAGAGATGGAAAGAATTGAAAAGGAATAGAGAACAGGTGGGAAAGCAAATAGCCGATGGTAATTTGACACCTAAATATATTGGTAATTACATTAAATGTAAATGGTCTAAATCTACACTGCTCAATAGAGTAGTTACTAGCCACATGTGACTATTAATCACTTCAAATGTGGTTAGTCTGAACTGACAAGCACTGAAAGTATGAAATCTATACTGGATTCCAAACACTTAGTACCAAAAAATGAATGTAAAATTCTTTGTCGGCCGGGTGCAGTGGCTCAGGCCTGTAATCCCAGCACTTTTGGAGGCCGAGGTGGGTGGATCATTTGAGGTCAGGAATTTGAGATCTGACCAATGTGACAAAACGTTGTCTCTACTAAAAATACAAAAAAAATTAGCCAGGTGTGGTAGTGCATGCCTGTAATCCCAGTAACTCAGGAGGCTGAGGCAGGAGAACCACTTGAACCTGGGAGGCAGAGGTTGCAGTGAGCCAAGATTATGCCAGTGCACTCCAGCCTGAGCAACAGAATGAGACTCTGTCTCAAAAAAAAGCCTTGTTAAGAATTTTTGTATTTGCTATAATTTGAAATATTATATATTATTGTGTTAGGTTAGCTAAAATATAGTATCAAAGTTAATA